TCCGCTTTCTCCTCTGGTGCAACCACCAGCTTGCCCAGCGTACTTTGCAGGGGCCCCACATTACCCGGTGCCTTCTTCATCCTCCCTATATATTTGAAAAAAGACTTGTTATTATCCTTGATTTTGGATGCTAGTCCTAGCTCTATGTCCACCTTGGCTTTCCTGACAGCCCCCCTACAGGCCCGAGCAGAGGAGGTATACTCCTCTTTGGAGATAGCACTCCCCTTCCACTGGGTGTACGCTGCCTTTTTGGTAAGCAGGCATTCCCGTACACCCTTGGTGAGCCAGGGGGGCTTTCAGGCACTCTTGTCCCCCTTGCTGTTTGTTGGGATGGACTCCCCTTGGGCCCTGAGTATCGTTTCCTTAAGGAACGACCACTCGTCTTGGACACTGAGTTCCCCTGCCCTCAAGGACTCCAGCGCCTCACCCACTAGTCTCCTCAACTTTTTGAAGTTGGCCCTCCTAAAGTCTAGGGCTACCGTCTTGCTGCAGGCCCTCGACACCCTGCGCTGGATGGTGAACTCCAGCAAGCGATGATCGCTGTCGCCCAGGTGGTCAAGGACCTGGAGGCCCCTGACCAGGTCATCGCCCGTGGCCAGGACCAGGTCCAACGGGGCGTTTCCTCTGATGGGACCGTGCACCTCCTGGATGAAGTGGAGGTCCTGTATCTCAGCCAGGAACCTCCTGGAACGGTCTGTCCTGGCTGACTGCTCCTCCCAGCAGATGTAGACCCAGTCCCAGACAACGTCACCCCAGCGCCGTCCAACGGTGCCAGGGAGGGAAGAGGCAGCTGGGCCGTGTGTGATATCCTGAGCAGGAGGGGCATCCAAAACACTTGCTAGCCCAGAAGCCCTCCCAAGAGATGCGTCAAGGCACACGTCATTCAGGGTGGGGACCTCGCCCCACCCTGAATGAGTTGGATGCCCCCGCGCTAGAGCGGCTCACACACCTCGTGCCAGTTCAGCCCACATCTGCCACGTGGTCCCTGCGCAGCGGTGAAGAGGGCTGCAGACCCGACCAGGCAGCGCCGCCAGGAGTTGTTGCTGCAGCAGAGGTGACGCTGGCCCGCTGGGCGTGCCTGGCGTGCGATGGAGATGATGCCAGGGCCCAAGCAAGGGCCTGCTTGATTCTGCTCTGCTTTTCATGTGGCTTACAGTGGGCCCTGACACCCGGGGAATAATAAGGCTGCCTGGGATATCAAAGCAAATTAAAGCAAGACTGCAGACACTGCAGCTGCTTTTGATGAGCCTCCTGCTCTTTTTTTTTTTATATAAATACATTTAAACATTGCCACTGCCAAAACAAACTTTGATCTCCCACAGACTGGGGCCAGCACCCTCCGCTGCCTGCCTGAGTTACATCTTTTAATGACTCTGCTAAGTGCAAACTCTCTGCTTAAATCTCTATTAAGCTTGCAAGGCCAAGATCCCTCAGATCTTGGGTTATCCATCTCCTTTCCTGCCTCTCTCCATTGTTTCTTTCTCTGCCTTGTGTCCTGCATGCCCACGCGGGCTCTGGTTTGCACCATTGCAATTTGGGAGCTATTATTCTGGGTTTGCAGTCAGTGTAATGAAGCTTTGTCTGCCTTCAGATATCATCCCGGGCAGGAGCTGCTCTAGGGGTAAACCCTGGTGTAGACATGATTCACATCCCTGTGGCATGACCTGTACCCAGTAAAATGCCAGGCCCTAATTCTCCCCTGGATCCCAGTCTCCCCTGGTGCTGATGGGTGCTCTGTGGGTACAATGCCTTTTTTACCCCCTCTTCACTGACTGCGCAAGGCAATGGTGAACCAGACCTCAGAGCAGGCCTGGTTGGAGGTGGAAATGATGCAATTAATACTCCTCGTGCCACAGAAATGACCTGGACTCAACCTCCATGTCCCAGGGTGGAGAAATCTGTCTGAACAAGCAGGATAACACCCCCCCTCCAGCCCAGTACACAGGGAGAGAGGAAAGGTGTGAGGGTTTCACATCCCTAGGTCTGCCCTATTGCTCCCGGGCATTAGACTGGGGGCAAAGTAAGTGTTGGGACCTGGACAGCTCTGTCTACAACCCAGGCTTCAGGTACCAGGGGCACCAGCTAGGATGCCTTGCCCAGCACTGAGCTGGCCTTCCTGCTATGCTCCTTTTGTGCCTGAAAACCAGTTAACTAGGCTGACGTTCAACAGGCACTACCAGACTTCAGAGGCAACATCCCAACGTAGATCTCTCCTGGAGCTACTGTTTTAGGCTGGCTGCAGACTCAGGCAGACGTCACCTCCTCCACTTCCCTTTTGTGCACCACGTGGAGGTCATTGTTGCAACCCTGAGGCCCAAGCTATGCTATCTCAGCCAAACGCTTAGGTTTTGAATCACATGCCAGGGACAAGAACTGTTCCCCCAGCCTGGCTCAGGCCCGCACCTGCCTGTATCTGCATGCTAGGGCAGGGCAATGTGAGCAGCTGGCACCAGGCACCGGGGCCATGTTTGGGTGCCTTGACGCGTCTCCTGGGAGGGCTTCTGGGCTAGCAAGTGTTTTGGATGCCCCTCCCGCTCAGGATATCACACACGGCCCAGCTGCCTCTTCCTTCCCTGGCACCGCTGGATGGTGCTGGGGTGACATTGTCTGGGACTGGGTGTACCCAGTGCGGGAAGCTGTTTGCTTTTCCACTTGTCAGCTCTGTTTCTTTTCAGTTCTTTCCGTATTGGCCTCGGGGTCAGGAGCAAAGGCAGGAAGGAGAAAGCTGCTGTGCCAACAAGCTCCTGGCAAGATTTTTGCCTGCTCCAGGAGAAGTCCAAGTGCCCCAAGACCCAAGTTGCCGCGGCTCTGTCTGCCCGGTGCAGCCTCGTGAGAACGGACCTCAAGGCATCTTCTTGTCCAGCCACGCTGTTAAGTGTCACTGGCTCGACCCTCCGCTGCAGCTCACGCAGGGTAGCCACAGGGCCTCCAGGCACCCTTCCCCCTCCTTCGAGCCGGCTGATAACGGGCTCGATGCAAAGTGGAACGATGCAAAAAAAATCAAGGAAAATGCCTCTGTAGGCAGACCGGGCGGTACACACGCTTCAGCTAAGATGTACCCCGTTTAAAGAACGGGATAGCAATGCCGACCAGTCACCTGCACACTGTGAACTGTGAGACCCAGTCTTCATCTGTGGCATTATATAACTCCTCTGTAGACCTATGCAATATGACCAAGGGGAATTCACATCCAAACTCAAACCCAGGCATCGTTTAGTGGTTCAGCCATTTGGGGCACGTTCTAGATGCAGCTTCCTGACCTATTTCCTGCTTGCAAACCTCACGTCTTAGCGAGACAAATGAGTGCTGTAATGCTGTCCTGTTCCCCTCCAGCCACGCACACTCCTTTCTGAACCCCAGCATGCACTAACTCCAACATCTAAGGACCACTGGGAAGGTAACTATTGCCTTCAATGGGCTTCGAGTCACGCCTGCAGAGGCTGCAAGGTCTCTTGGTACCTGTGCCTACCCTCTCCCACTTGCTAATGCTCTGGCCCACTGCTGCAGGAAGGAGCTCGCAGCAGCCAGGGGTTTCTGAAATGCCATCCGTGGAGGCCTGAAGAGATGCAACAGAGAAATGCAGCTGTCAGGGCTCTTAATAAACAACAGTCGCGGCTTGCAGGGGAGGGAGGGGAAAGGCAGCGGGAAGGTGACTTCGCCGACTTGTTTACAACCCATGAGAGACTGGATCAAGGGATCTGGGGTGGCAAGGATCAGGGTCTGGGGAAGCACTGGGATCAAACTGACAATGCCTGGACAGTGGAGGGGCCCCCTGAGATGCCCTGTAGCACCGCAATGCACCCCACAAGACTTGGCAACACCAGACGCAGAATATTGGGACAGACCATATAGAAATTGGACTGGAGGTACGATGAAGACAATCAGAGCAGGCCAGGCGGTGGGACGAGGGATTGACTGGGGAGGTAAAAGGCAGCCTAGTACCAGGATCTGCTGGGGAAGAAAGTCTCTCTCCCCATCCGGGCCCGGTCCAGTTCTGCCCTCTCTGAAGGTCCAGACACCCCCTGCACCTGAAGCAAGTCTCATCTCACCCCTGGATGGGCACAGACCCAGCCCAGGGCTTGATACCAGGCCCACCTTTGGCAGACAGCGACATGACCTGGGCCTGGGCCTGGGCCCTTCTGCTGCCCGTGGGTCTACACTGGGGGTCCCCAAGATGGGGACCGACTCCAGAGCACGGCAAACTGAGCTCAGCACTTGCTACTGCTCCGTCCTGGTCCCGCCCGGAGCAGAGGTCCCCGGGAGAGGGCGCGGAGGATGCCGCAGACGTGGTTTGTAAATGGAAGGGGAGGTGGTCGGGCAGACACAGGCCGAGGTCTCATTAAAGTCAGGGAAGGGGGAAGCTGCCTCATTACACGGCACAGCCTGGGCTCGCACTGCGGTGATAATGAGCCCAGGGCTGACGTTCCCCGAGGAAGGCGCGGCAGCAGCTGCTGACTGAGGCCGGCACTGAGCCTCCTGCCGTTTCGTTCCCTCAGCTTCTGTGCGCCTAATTAAGGGCTGTGTCTGATTACAGCCCCGCGGGGGACCAGGGTGGCCACGTCCCTGCTTGCACAGGTGTCAGAGGCTGGACCTGCAGGGACATGAGGCTGCAGCAGGGAGGAAAGCCAGCTCTTTGTCCACAGGGCTGGGGGTCCCAGGTGCTCAGAAACCTGTCACAGCATGGTCATTCCTCCCCCATTTTTGCTTTTGGCTTGGGTGATAAATAACTTCCCTCTGCACTTGGCGCAGTGCCTTTCCCATGAGGCATTCCCCACACAGGGAAGGGTTACCCCCATTACACAGATGGGGAAACTGAGGCACGGAGCAGGGCAGTGAGTCACCCACGGCCACACACAGGCAATTTGCATTTGTGCTGCCTCTGGGTGTTTCGAGGCAGCTGGGAGGCAGGTGGACCAAGGGGGAGGGAAGCCCAGACTGTGCACCCACTGGCCCTGACTATCTCTGCCTGGAGGGGATGCTGGCCATGCTGGAGCAGTCGTCCTGAACCTGACGGCCTCTCACCTTCATTCTTCCTGTTGTTGAGCTGGTTGAACTGCTCCGTGAACTCGGTCAGCGACTCCTCGATGGTCTCTGTCCGGGGAACCGAGAGGGAAAACCTCCTCTTGAAGTTTTTCATCTTGTTCATTTTCTCCGGCGCTGCAGGGGGATGGCAGGGCCCTGCGGGGAAACGAGAGAGAGGGGGCATGACGAAGGGCATGGCTTGCCTGTGGGACTGCCAGCCCTGCCTGGAGCTGGGCTCAAAGGGCCTGGCTGTCTGGATCCCGGGCATCTGGAGCGCTGTTTGCAGTCAGGAGCACCCCACCCTTGCGAACATCAGGCCCAAAGACGAGACCCTGGAGGGACAAAGAGTGAGGGGCTTGTTGGGATGCGACTGCAGAGCACAAATGCTACAAGCCACTTTGTCCTCCATTGCCCCAGCACTGGCTGCATCCCTCCCTAGCTCAGCAATGCAGATAGGATGCGGTCTGGGAGCCGCTCACGCAGACAGCTGCGTTCTGGCTGTTTTTATTGCCCAGGGCATTGTGCTATCAAAAAAATGATGCCTCTAAGACAGGCAGGACAGCACAGCCCGAGCCAGCCACAGGGCAGACTGGCGGTGGGAGACCCTGCACAACTCTGCCCGTGCCCTTCAGCGTGCAGCCCCTTTGCTCCCGAAGCCCTGGATAGCCCCCGCACCCCGCAGGAGTCCTGACCCACAACTCCTCCAGGCAGGTCTGGACCGTCACCACACGGTGATCTGCGGATGCCCCTGTGTCTCGGCTGACGCTCCCGCCAGTCCTGAGCAGGTACCGTGACCCAGCAGCAACGTGAGCTCAGTGGATGGGGGCAGAGGGCTGCTTCCCCTCGAATATCCCACGTCCCGGTGGCAGCACGACAGAGCCTCGTGGACTTGAAACGGCTTCTCGCCTGAGCCGTCCTTGCCCGCTCCCACTCGGCCCTGCAGTTGGGACACAGGCCATATTATTTTGCCGTAGTAGTGGAGTCAATGCAGCGGCTCAGCAAGTCCACCCTAACCCATCGCCCCAACGCTGGGCAGAGCTGCAGGGGCAAAGCTGCGAGCTCCAGGCCTGTGTTTTTCCAAACAGGTCCCCTGGAGAGCCAGGGAAGGCCGGGTCAGGGCGCAAGGGACCGAGGACAGGACAGACGCTGCCCTGAGCCTCGTCTCGCAGCCCTAACTCTGACGTGACACTTTCAGATGGGGAGTGTGGGGGTGGCTGGGCAAAGGGCTGGTGTGAAGGAGAATACCCCCACCAAGGTGCTTCTGCCAGCAGGGCCTGAAGTCCCCCTCCTCTAGCCCGCCTGCTCCACGTCACGGCTCTGAGCTCTTTTCCTGTTACTCTCATTCTGCAGCCCCAGAGGGATCTGAACGTGCAAATCAGCCTCTGGCTCCCAGGTTGCAGAATGGGCATCCCAGGCTACGTGCCCGCTCTGCTCCCTTGGCGCCCCTGGAGCCAGGGAGCGGCACGTTTTCTCCCATGGCCGCACCCCGGTGAGGCAGGCGCAAACCCCCTCCCCGCTCGGGTGGGTTATCAGCACAAAGCGACGCTTCTCGCGTTCCAGAGCAATGGGATCAGACGCAGCATCCGGGAGCTAATGCACCGCGTCGCTGTGGCAACGCAGAGGCTGGGGCCAAAATGCCTACATTAATAATAGATGGCTTATAATAATAGAAAGCTTAATAGATTATGTGTCAGTCACAGACCCATCCTGCTCGCTCATCAGCCTGACGCTGCCTCCCATGGCCAGAGCAAGCCCTCGGCTGGGATATTTGGATTTTACCCAGCTCTTTGACTGCCAGGGTGCATCTGCCCACGTCTCCGGCAAACCTGCTTCTCCCCGTCCCCCCCAGCCCCACGAATGAAGAGTGAATCTGGAATCCAAGCAAAGACCTGGGCGGTCCAAGGGGTCAAGACCAGGCCGTGGGGCACAAGGGACCTTCACTTGACCTTCATGTCTAAGGCACTCCCTGCATAGCTGTGACCAAGAATCACACCCCTCCAAAACCCAGGCGATACGAGTCCAGCGGGTCTCAACCCCATTCACAGCAGGGAGGTGTTCATGTCTCAATGTACCGGATCCTTTAGTTCAGGACAGAGCATCCCCCCATTGCCTGTGACATTAGAAATGCTCCTGGAGTCACGTGCATCCAAGGAGTTGAAGTGGTGGGATGTGGCTCACGCCAGGCATGTGCAAGCCTCAGTGCAAGCTCCCCAGACTTTGAGCCACATGTGCAGGCTGCAGGGAACAGGGCTCTAGTTGTCATCCAGAAGATGGGAGAGCTGCAGAGAAAACCCACGATGCCACAAGAAGCCTCAACGGTGCTTTAACAGGTGCTGCTTGCTCACCTACCATCCAACAGGTTCTGCTATCTTTCATGTGCGCCCACAGAAGATGGGATGTTTCCACTCAGCAAACACCGTTCGTGACCTCTGGAGACGGAGGCACTCTTTGAAAGACTGAGAGACGCTAATTCCACATCCCTGCATCTGAGCTGTACTAACCACAGCAGGTCTGCCCTGCACAACTGTGCACCAAGCTGCGGCTGCTGCCTTGGGCTGGGGGACACAGCGGAGGAGACTGCATTGTAGCTGTGCATGCAGCAATCCCTGTCCACATATATCACGTGCACAGTGCCAGGAGATCCGTGGTACTACGGGACCCTACGATATCATCGTCACAGTATCATTCATGGAAATGACATGTTCAGGAAGTTTAGATGCCAGTAGCAATTGGCACCACACCCACCCTGCTTCAAACCCTCCGGAAAGATGTTGGACTGGCAGCACTTGAGACCAACAGGCCTTGCTTTCTTCTCCCAGCAGGAAAGCAGTACCACAAGATGCTTCCGAAGTACCCCACCAAGGGACTTCCACCCCTCCCCGGCGAGACGGGTGAAGGAGTTGCAAAATTAAGTAGTGCAGGTGCCCAGTGCAAGCACCCAGCTCTGCAGCAGGGGATATGCAGCAACTTATAGTGGCTTGTCCTCCACAGGTGGGAATAGGAGAATATTCTCCGGAGGTCCATATTTCTCGGAGGAGCTAATCCAAACTGTCAGCAGAACAGCCTGCCACTAGAAAACAGTTTCACCAAAATCCGAACTTTTCAGTTTTTCAATCCTCACCACATTTCTAATAGCAAACGGCGCAGATGAACCGTTTTGATTTTCTCATTTGCTTGAAAAATGTGGAAGCATTTAATTATTTATATGTAGGTAAGACATATGGGCTTGGCTTTCTCGTGCTGAATTTTTACCATATTCGTTATATTGCAACAACAGATATTACACAGCATCATACATATATTTATAGTGTAATATATTGATATCAATAAAATGAAACACCAACAAAGCATTGAATTGTTTCCAGGTCGATTTTTCCCCGAGTTTCTCTTCTGTGCAGCCGTCAGAAGGAAGTGCCACGTTCTCGGTACCAGAAGGTGCAAGGTGGTTGCAGGGCACCCTGCAGCTACAGAGCCACCTGCCCAGAAGGGAAGTGCCTTCCCGGTCTCCATCATGCCCAGGCCAGCTGGTGCCCTGTAGCATGGATTTATGCCCCCTTGTCTATGACTATGCTCTGCTGTGTTGCTGCCAGAGGGAGTCATTGCAGGAGCCTGGACTCCGGGGCAGTCAGGGAAGGGGAAAGGGGAAGTGCTGAAAGGGGGATGGGGTAGGACCTACCCCCGTCTCCCCCGCTCTCCCTCCCACCTTGCATGTGGGCTCAAGACAAACAAGCACCTGAGTGCTGGGAAATCATGAGCTGCAGAAAGTGCTGCCCAGAGCTCTTCCCCTCACTGCACCTACCCACGCTGTAGCTCTGTTGAGCTGCTATATATAATCCTGCCGGGAGCGGAAGTGGGATGAGGGTAAAAATAGCGGTAGAGAAATGGCCAGGATGCCTATCGCTGCCCGCCCAGCAAGGTACGTGGCTATTCTGGGCCCATTATCTTTACAACTTTGTGCACTGTGTAAACCCAGCTGCTTCCTCCAGCTGAGCATGGCAAGGGGGCCCAATTAAAATGTCCACAGACCAAAATTTATGGGGCTGTTCTTGTTCTTTCCTCTTTCTTTTCCTCGTTCTTTTCCAGAGAACGCACCTTTGACAGCTGCATTACGCTGAGATCCCTCCACCCCGCAGTACTCGGCATGGCCCGAAAGGGCCGCCTCATACAGATCCAGTCCCCGGGCGGCACCGTGCGACTCACATCAGTGCAGATTGCCCCCGTGTCAAACCCGTGTAAGCCACAGAGCCCAGCTGCATTACACAAGGGGGTTGCCCTGGGACAGCGGCATGTGTGGCTGAAGCCTGGCACACTCAGTGTCCAGCTCTTGAGGTTGTGGGCTTTGGGCATTTTGTTTCCATGCAGCAAACTAGACTGTGGGGCTCAGTCTGGGACACTGAAGGCCTAAGTCTCCAACACAGCCTTTGCTTTTGGTCCCCAGGGGCCCAGGTTGGGTATGATGGTCAGAGGTGTGGGGCAATGTCAGGCCTGAGGGGGACACATTTACTGCAGGGCTTGGCACCCTGTTGGGCTGGAGGCATTGCAGAGGGACCTACTGGGCACTGGGCTGTTCTGCAAATCATAGATGCATAGATGTTAGGGTTGGAAGGGACCTCAGCAGGTCATCAAATCTGACCCCCTGCCCTGGGCAGGAAAGAGCGCTGGGGTCAGACAACTCCAGCTAGGTGCTTGTCCAGTCTCCTCTTGAAGACCCCCAGGGTAGGGGAGAGCACCACCTCCCTTGGGAGCCCGTTCCAGATTCTGGCACCCCTTACTGTGAAGAAGTTGTCTTATGTCCAACCTAAATCTGGTCTCCGTCAATTTGTGGCCACTGCTCCTAGTTACTCCCTAGTAAATGGAGCATCTCCTATTCCCTGCTGCCCTCCACTGATGAATTTATAGGCAGCCACAAGATCACCTCTCAGCCTTCTCTTGCAAAGGTGACAAGATCCAGGTCCCTCAATCTCTCCTCATAGGTCCTTGTCTGCAGGCCTCTGACCATGCGAGTGGCCTCCTCTGGACCCTCTCCATGTTGTCCACATCCCTCCTGAAGTGCGGCGCCCAGAGCTGGACGCAGTACTCCAGCTGCGGCCTGACCAGTGCTGCATAGAGGGGGAGGATCACCTCCCTGGACCTGTTCATCATGCATCTGCTAATGC